TTCTTTTTTCTTTTTTCTTTTTTTTAAATTATTTTTATTTATTTCATTTTCATTTTCATTTTATACAATCACTTATATACTGTTGCTCGTTTTTCTTTTTTTTTTCTTTTTTTCTTTCATTTTCTAAAAAATAAACTGAATAGATTACACCAAAGTGAGGAGTAGAGGGAAAGAAGAGGGAGAAGTAAAGAGGGAGTGAGAGGGGAATGTAAGGAGGGTGAGATGTCTGAGGGGGAAGGGAAGTAGAAGAGGGGAATGTTGGAGGGGAGAAATGAAAGTTGGAGGGGGAGAAGAAAGGGTGTATGGGGGATTGAAGTGTTATGTTGGTTTTTTATGGTGGATTGTTGTTTTTTTTTTTTGTTATGCACAGTATATAAGTGATTGTATAAAATGAAAATGAAAATGAAATAAATAAAAATAATTTAAAAAAAAGAAAAAAGAAAAAAGATCAACTACTTTGATTGTTATATTGTGCAGAAAGGCAAGGTGCATATGGTGGTAATAGTAGTCATCATTATCATACAGTAATCCAAGTGGATTTGGCGCAGCTTTTTGCAGCTCAAGATGCAGTTCTGATCTCCTGTTCTAAATTAGCATATTTGCAGATTTTTTTAAAAAGAAAGTATTTGAAATCTTTGTAAACCCTCCAAACATAGCAGGAAAAAGATGGTTGGATATGTTTACTACCTATTTCTAAAAATAATAAAGGTGGGATGCAAATAAGTAAAAAAATATGAAAGGGGTGGCTAGAAGGGAGAGGAGGGGGGTGTTTTAAAGCAGATATTGTATTTTATTTTATTGTTTTTTTCATTTGAGTTGGTTCTGCCTGAAATATCATCTCAACTAGGTAATTTGAGAAAAGATTTAGTTGATCATTAAGTATTCTCAGAAGGCAAATGCAAAGTATTTTTGCAAGGTGATTGGAATGCAAAACATTATCCCTCCGCACCTCCAAATATTAAACTTATTAAAAACCAAACATAAGGAGAGAAAGATAATAGCTGCTGTGTGAAGTATAATGCCAAATCACAATATAAGGTTATTGCTTCTCTAATACAGTAATAACTTTCATACGAAGAAACTCCAAAACAGAATGCTGATTACAGGAGATAATATTTGTTCATGTAGGAGAAAGATTGGCAGAACCTGAGGGTGGAGTGAAAAGAGGGATCAGCCTAGAATTTTTGCATGGCCACAAATGAATTAAGTGCAAAACCTCTTGAGTGGCATTGTCCGTTATCTACAGTAACTCTAACCAAATGTTTATCATTAGATGAGACTTTAGCAGTAAATCAGTTTAATTGAAACTTCATGTATGGACTTGATCTTTCGCACCAGACAATTTAACAACCACAATTGTGACTGACAACTTAGTTGTTAAGGGAAGCAGTCACTAAGTGAATCTGTGACTGGGTTTATAATCTTGCTTATAGGTTTCCTTTGTTTTACAAACCTGTGAAGGTCTCGAATTGGTCATAAAGTTACTTTTTCGTTACTGTCATAACTGTGCCCAGCTCCACCGCACATGTGTGTGCACCTCCTGCCGGCCAGCTGATTTTCGGGTTTCTGCTGTGCATGCCGGATATGCGCGTGCATGCGAGGAAGTGGGGAGCACGCCTCCCCTGCACCCCATTTTTGCTTTCAGGAGGCCTCAGGGAGGCCAGCTAGGCCCAAAACGGGTTGCGGGGGTGTGTCACACGTATTCACAGGGGGAGCACAGGGGAGGTGTGCGCATGCATGGGGGGGGGCAGGGTGCATCATGTGGGGGGGGGGAATGCCTGCAATTTTGGCACGCAAGGACAAAATGATTAGCTATTACTGTGTTAGGTTCTTCTCTAGAAGCCTGTTTCTGCCTTTTTCTATCAGAGGTAATATGTAAGACAAAAGCTTCTCAGTGGCACAATTGATGCTACCAAATGTGCTTTGTGGTGAAGAATTGTCTTTTTTTCTTCTCTGGCTCTAGTTCAGAAGGAATTTGTGATCTCTTTAATTCATAATTGCATAATTATTATTCCTTTGCTGAATTTCTAGGGAATAATAAATCAGATAATTCTGATTATCTTTTAAAAATATGTTCCTTTGTTTAAGGAACTAGCAAACTTCTATTGGAAGATACATTAAGCTCTCCTGGAGATTAAGACCTTAAGAAAAAAAGGAGTGCCTTGCTACATTGGGCCCCTGGCCCTTCAGGTCCAACAGTCTATTCTCACAATCCTCATAGATTGTCCTATAGCCTAACAAACATCATAGATACTGTATTTTTCGGAGTATAAGACGCACCTTTTTCCCTCAAAAAAGAGGCTGAAAATCTGGGTGTGTCTTATACACTGAATACAGTATTTTTTGCCTCACAAACCCTGCCCCCTTCACCACAATGGCCATGCATAGCCTTTAGGAGGCTTTCAGAGTGCTCATGGGGGCTGGGGAGGGCAAAAAATGGGCTGATTGTTGCTCAATTTTGCCCCCCTCAAGCCCCCAGGACCACTCTATAAGCTTCCTAAAGGCTATACATGTCCTTTTTTGACAAAAAAGAGCCTGTTTTTGTGAAAAATGTACCAGTTTTTGCTTGCTTTTGGGGCCCCACCCCCCAGGAACACTCCACAAGCCTCCTAAAGGCTATTCATGCCCCTTTTGGGGGGGGGGGAAACTTGGACTTTTCATGAAAAACAGGCCGTTTTGGGAGGTCTGCAGAGTGCAAAAACTTTTTTTTAATTTGCCTCTTCAAAATCTTGGTGCGTCTTATACTCCAAAAATATGGTAATTGTTTTAGAAGCTTGTGAACAGGAAGGCTGGGGAAAGAATGCACAAATACAAGCATGGGGAGGCTGGGAAAGAGAATTGGGCTGGGAAAAGAGGGCATGGTGTTGCCAAGAAGAGAAGGTTCAGGATGCGTGCATATGATCACACAGAGGCCCCAGGGAAGGAAGATGCTGTTGGCTGAGAGTGAGCAAAGGGGGGAAGAGGGGAGGTGCTGTAAAGGCCAGAACTTCAAGGACCAAGTCGTAAGTCCATTCAATACCATTATAACTTTAAATAGTCACTGAACAAATGGTCATAATTGGAAGACTACCTGTATTGCAAGGATAGAAATTCATAAACTCTTGTTTCTCCTAGCAACCGTAGCAATGGGCCATACTTCAGAGAGGCAAATTTAGGGTTTCTATATAAAGTTATTGACATAAGTATTTTAGAAAACCTGTAAGTCCAGAAATCTACATGTTGTTCGAAAGAAATTTGCTTCCATAAAGAAAAAAAATGATGCACCTTATTGCTAGATAGTATAGAACAGGGGTCTCAAACTCACGTTGTCACAGCAGCATCACATGACATATTGGGACTTTTCTCCCCTCCCCTAAACTAGGCGTGGCCATCCGGCCTGCGGACCAGGAATTTGACAGCCCTGGTATAAAACATACGTCAGACATTAACAACTATTTGAAAAGTATTTGAAAACTGCAGCATCTGCAGTAGTACTTCCTGTTAAGATGGTGCATTATTTCTTTTTCTTGCAGGATCTCTGTTCAGGTTTGCCTTCTGGCCAGATTTGTCATGATGAAGAGAGACTGAAGGTGATATTTACAGATCTGGCTCGGCACAAAGATGATGCCCAACAGCGCAGTTGGGCCCTCTATGAAGATGAAAATGTCATTTGCTGTTATTTGGAAGAATTGCTTCAGATTCTGGTAATTCGTTGCTTTGGCAGAGACAGGCTTTTTATAAAGTTTATTTGCTCAGCACTTTGATTATTACAAATGGAAAGTGAGTGATAAGATCGCTTAATGCCTGGATGGGCAATTCACAAAATAGAGGCCCTTGGAATCAAGAGAAGCTCAAATGTTTGGTGCCAACCAAATGATTAAAATTCTCAAATGGAACAGTAAATGTTACCTTCTAGCTAAGATAATATACCATTCCTAATGTTTTAGTCAAGTTAGATGAGATCCTAAATATTATGCTGTTGCCTCTTGGGCTAACTCATCTCAGGTGTAGTCAGAATAAATGTTCCAGTAATTGTCGAGCTCATTAGACAATTTTTAATCCTCTCCAAGTGAATAATAACATTCATCTTTTGTCTAGGTTTGGCTCTTTTTCAAGTAAGTTTTTTATGATTTTATTGCAAAAGCTCTTAGATATTTCTTCCTGTAAGAATGTATATAAAATAGAAGTGTTATCTAAGAGACGAAGGGAAGGAGGGAGGGAAAGAAACATTCTTGTGGCAAAATCTGTTTTAATGCACATACAGTTTTAGTACTACCAACATTGGAAATAGTCTAGATTTAGGGAATAACTCTGTCTTTGTGTCTCTATTCTGAATGTTAATTTTTTTCCCATTCATTTTTACAGACAGATGCAGATCCAGAAGTATGCAAGAAGATGTGCAGGAGGAATGAGTTTGAATCAGTATTATCTCTTGTGACATATTACCAGATGGTATGACATTGCATTTCAGGCATATAAGTTTGACCGAATATTGAATAGTTTAATTTTTCCTTGTACATTAATAAATTTGAACATAGCAGTAACACAGCATTGCTATAATAATGCTCTTCTTCCACCCTCACACTCAATCTCTAGGTTCCCTTATTTTAGGTATATCTCCAATCAGTCCTACTAATTAGTAAAAATAGCAGGCATGGCAGCCCTACGTTAAAGTAGGAACCAGTGGCCCAAGTATAAGAGCGGTGGCTGAATTAGGAAATCTGATGTCAGCACACTAAAACAATAGAATATTCTCAAAGTTTGCTTTGGATTCTCTACATTGGGAAAAACCAGGGTGGAAATAACAATAACATTTGGGGGAATATGCATTTTTGTAGGAGATGACCAGGCTGAGCCCGAGAGAGGGGTCAAACACGCCATCAGACTTAAGTCCCTTCACGCCCACAAGAGATCTAAGTCCAGCCCACCTTGAATTCCTTTGACTCTTATCTGCCAATTTGCTTTGACTGTTAGTAGTTCAGATTCTTGTAGAGACCATGAGCTTGCAATAAACCTTTATGTTCATTTTAAACTGCTTGGACTTCCTGATTGTCCTAGCCTTGACAGTTTTGTTTTCCCCAAAAAGTAGAAATTATGGATAACAAAGTCCCTCCTAGCAATTTGAAAGCTAGATGTAGCTTCCCTACTTTTTAAAAGCAGCATTGAGGAAGAGAAGTAGCAGGCTTACTGTCATTGGAAAGATCCCCACTGGTGCCTAATGGGCACATTAGCAGGTTGTTCCCATTTCTTGGTTAATTGGGACAGATCTGGGCATTGCGTTGAAAATTAGGGTATACAGGTGGTCCTCAACCTGCAACTACAATTGGGACTGGAATCTTTGTCATTGAGGGAAGCTGTCATTAAGTGAGATGGGCTCATGACCACTTTGCTCATCAATCATAAACCAGTTGGGGTAGTTAAGTGATTGTGCAGGGCATTTAACAGAGCACTGGAGAGAGGGCTCTGTCTCCTCACCCCATCACACTTAGGTCCACTTATCCTTTGCCTTTTTCTACAGCGTTCTATCAAGGCCACTTCACATCCTTTGACAAGCCAGCCCGATTCTCACAATCATTGGAAGGGTCCTTCTCAAAAATCACATAATTTGGAGAAGGGGCCTTCCAAGCGATCGTGAGAATGATGCCGTTCTCCAGCCTTCCTAGGCTTTTTAGCCTAAAAAATCTTTCTTGCCTTCAAAAATCCAGAAGGTTTGAGGTTCATTCCTGAAGCCCACCAAGCCCATCAAATCCTCCATCCCCTCTGCTTGCAATCTTCCCTGCCGGCTTCTCCACTGAGTTTGCATAAGAAGGAACAACATTTAGGAATGATTGATAATTGTGACTTGGAGTGTTTTGAGTAAAAGATTGGAATATAAGCTAAGATGTAACTAGAAGGAATACTAGAGTAATACTAGAAAATTCATGAAAGCCAGTGTAAGGCAGGTTAACTGTGACATGATTCTTAGAAGCACTTCATCTTTCTCTAGGGAGCAAAAAATAAATTAAAAAAATAGGCCAAAACATGCAGTGATAAAATGTTGGCATCTTGACAATTTCTGATGTTCTGAATAGTCATCCCATATGGATTTGGCATAGATTTGTCTGGTATGCCAATTGCACCCTTTCCTGGACTGGGAGACCTGACTCAGGGTCACTCATGGCTTGATCATCTCCCATTTAGATTACTGCAGAGGGTTTTACATGGGGCTGCCTTTGGAGACCATCCAGAATCTTCATCCGGTCTAGAATGAGGCAGCATACCTCTATTGTGTGAGATGCACTGGCCTACAATTTACTTCAGAGTGGAGTTCAAAGTGTTATCACTTTTAAAGCCCTATATTGGCATAGTCCAGGTTTTCTGCAGGAGTACATTTTAGCAAGGCAGGGATGTCAAACTGTTGGCACACAAGTCGGATGTGTCACACATAGGCCACCCCCACCCCAGGTTCCCGAAGGGGGAAAATGTTGAGAAACGGCACATGACACAGCGGGCCTAAGGACATTTCCCTAGGAAGCAGGCCTTTTCTGGTGGCAGAACATTATTCCAACTGAAGCTGGCAAGCCTCTCTCCTTCTAGCCTTCTGAAAAGTACTGAAGATCTGACCTTACCCCCAAAGTACTGGGATAGCATTGGGGGGTGGCATGTCAGGAGCCTGACTTAATGCCAGATGTTTTTTTTTAACGTTTGCCATTTTAATCGTTTAATATGATTTTTATGTTGTTTCAATTGTTGATTGGGAGTTATCTGGAGTTTGGTATTAAGATGAGCGGCCATTCAGTATAAATGTTTTAAATAAATAAAATAGTTTGCTTGCTGAAATTATTGCAGTCTGCATAGAATAATTATTTTCTGAGGTGCATCTGGAATACTTCACTTTCTGAATAGCAAGTAAAAGAAACATGCATTATTTATAGTTGGGTATTTTGTTAATTAAAAACAATTTTCTTCTTAAGGAGCACAGAGTTCCATTACGCCTGCTGCTTCTGAAATGTTTTGGAGCCATGTGCAATTTGGATGCTGCTATTATTTCTGCTCTGGTTAATTCTGTTTTGCCAATGGAGCTAGCCCGAGATATGCAAACTCATACCCAAGGTGAGGCATATTTTATACAGTAAGTCTTCCTATAGCTCAGACAGAATACAAATTTTTCTTCTGATGATATGTCACTACTTTGTGAGGCTCTTAAGGGATACATTCCAAAGCTTGCACTTATTGCAATAATTGAAGTGATGGTCTGTGTTGAACATGATGTTGTGGAAAATTTCAATATAGATATAACTACCATGTAGTAATAAAGTTACAGATCATAACCTCTTTCTTTTCACTGAGAATCCCTGATACAGATAGTAAAGGGGGAAATTACATTATAGACTATAATGGTAATTTCTTTAATAGAATATATAGAATAGAATGCTGTAGACGTAATATATCTTGAAGTATTTGACAATGTACCCCATAACATGTTGATGGCGAACTGTGTAAAGGTTGAACTGGAGGATGAAAATGTAAAAGATATACAGCTAGTTTTGAAATTCATTCCCAAAGACAAGGCTATTTAATCAATGATTTCTCATCGGTTTGGGGAGAAATATTGACTGGTGTATCCTAAAGTTCAGTTCTGCGTCTTTTATTACTCAAGGTTCTGTTAATGAATTGTTAAAGAAGTGGGTGGAATACATATCAGATTTGTGGATTATATAAATTTGAGCAAACTGGCTAGTATCCTAGAATGCAGAAAATAAAAATCAAAACAATATTGATGAGTTAAAGAATTGAACAGAAAGCAACAACATAATTTAACCAAGCCAAATGCAGAGCTCACTTAAGAGATAAAAACCAAAAGTGTAGATATAGGATTGGGAATACCTAAATTTGTATTACATGGCAAAAGTTATTGGAGTAATAAACTGAACATTAACCATTAGTTTAATATGGTTGCAAAAAATGCTAATTTTGGCTGCACCAACAGAAATACAATAATAAGAAATAATGTTTCCACTTTATTCTGAAAAACTTGCATAGATTTGGAAAAAAAGTAATGAGGCAATAACTGGCAACTATAAACTAAGACAATTTATATTTCATATTTCTAAACTGCCTATCTCCCTAAAAGAGCATCTCTATTGGTGATATGTTTAATATTTTAAAAAGAGAGAGGGAAAGGAAATGAAACCACTGTCCAAATACCTGGAAAGATATCTCATAGAAGGATACGATTTATTATCTAACATTTGAGGGTTCAGGAGACTTGAATTAAGTTATGTTAAAAGAAGATAGATTCTGATAGAATGCTAGAAAAAAACCCTTAATAATAAGAGCAACTTGAAAATGAAACCTATTACCCAGAGTCACTGAATTTGTTCAGACAGGCACATCTGTTGGAAATGCTTTGTTTTGGCTTCCAAAACTGGACAGCAAATTTGACTTGATCCCCTAAATGGCATTTTCCAATTCTATGGTTTTATGAATTTTTTGATAGTAATCAGTTTTAGTAGCAATTTTCATAGGGAACCTCTATTGTCCTCATGGTGCATGACAATTATGTACTGCTATGGAGGAATGAAGATGAAGGCATGGATGTGGCTAGAACACAACTTTTCTCTCTCTCTCTCATTTGGAGGCATTTAAAAATGAATTGTGGATTGGACAAAGCTCCAACTACCAAAGGTCTAAAACATGCCAGAGACTGGTACTTTACAGTCCTTCGTGGCAGCATTTGTAAGGACACTCAGTGATCCCAAGCCCTCTCCTACATACAGAGAGGGATTCAAGGAGCCAATTCCTTCATGGGCTTCATTTTCCACCGTGATCATTGGTTCCACTAAAAGTGAAAGCACCTTAGTCTGCCATTGCTTCCCCTGGAAGTCTGCTATAAGGGGTTGTTTTAAGGTGGGATTCTAACACACTTGAATTACTTTTATGTTGGACTTCAGCTTTGAAAGCAAGAACCATCTTTGGCACTTGATAGAAAGATCATAGCTGACCAGCACTTGGAGAAACATTCATATAGCATTGGTGAACATTTATTGGCTATTAACAAAAAGCATAGAAAATTTGCCATAATTGTTTTGTTAATACATAGCTCCAGCATCAGCAGGTAGCAGCAGGAGCTAAGCATGCTCCACTCTGCATAGTATTTAAATAGGAAAGCCCTTGAAACTCAAGGATTGATGAATAAATGATGAAGTTGGGAGAAGACAGGGACAAAGCCACTTCATAGCATTGCCAAGAAAACATTACGCATGGAGTTGCCAACATTGTCTTATTGGCAGGACAAAAAAAAGGAATCTCTTATAATTAGATGTATTATCTTTATTTTAAATGACATATCACTAAAAAAAATTCTGATTTAGTAGGAACGACACTTCTATCTAGGATTTAAACAGATCATATTAATAAACATGATGAACTGCTTTAGTATATTTTCCTTTTAAGAAAAAGCTTTAAGATGAAAAACTTCTAAGAGAATATGTTGGAGTGTATTTGCCCTAAATATCAAAGACTGTTCATAAGACACTAAAATGGTCTTTCTCCATTGCAAACAGAAAAAAATACGATAGAAGGAGAGGCTGAGCTAGGGAACATTTTACATTTGATCAAAGCTCTGTTCTGTCTGGGTTTGAATCTGACCATCAAGACTCTTCTTCTCTGCAACTGGTGGGCAACCTTAACAAAATGAAAAGGGAAATCCTGAATAAATGTCAAAGTCATGTTGGAAATCATTAATAGGGATATGCAGTGCTTCCTGTTCAAAGACATACAGGTGCTTTGGGGTATAGGTATGAGTGTAGCATCTATGTACAATTGTTTGAAGTAGCCATACCTTTCTCTGTGAGAAGATTTGTTGGGTTGAAGAATTCTCACCCAAATGTGATGCATCCTTTGAATACAAAATCCTATGCAGCTGTAATAACCACCTTTACACATAACTATCCAATTGTTCTAGGATACATTCTGATCCAAGTACTGGATATGAATTTTGTTTTATGCCTGTCCTTTTGAGATTTGTCTGTGTACACATACTCACTCGCTAGTTTCCTTTTTATCACAGGAGTTTATTGATTGTCTGCCATATCAGAAGACCAAATATTTCTACGTTTGTTTGCAGAACTTTTGGGAGGCTATTTCTCTCTGCAGCTTGATAGGGGAGATTAAAAATAATGCTGACACTTCATGTTAGCAGGAAGTTTGCCTCTGCTTCAAGAGGGGTGCTGGCTTGCCGCCATCTAAACAGCAGGATTCCATTCCGTTCCTCACTAACGTCAGTCTGTTACATGCTGCTATATTCAGTCATTTCCTCTAAGAAATTCCTGTTGTCATTCATTCAATGTTTATATTCTTTTACCATTGTGCTTGTTGACAGCCAGATGAATGGGGAGTCTCATTGTGTCTTTATCTTCTCCCTTCATCTCTCTTTTTAAGTCCACCTGCATATCCAGTTAAACTCACAGAAAATATGCATGTTGTGTTGTTTTTTTGCATTTGTGTTGCCTCTTGACACTTCCTTATAGGTAGGACTTTCCATCTATTTGGTGTCAGACTCTGGCTTTGTGGTTGGTGTTTTTTTCCTAAATGGCATGAACTTAGAGCGGCACTATAAGCACCTCCACCTTCTTACTATTGCTACTACTCTTACATTTAATTCCACTTTTCGATGTCCAACAAGTAAAGTCTATCAGCAGAGGGGCACATGGGGTTAGAATAGGGATCCCATACATATCCAGCTACTGAGGTATCAGTTTCAGAAAAATGTGTCTTATCTGTTTGCTCCTTGCCATGTTTTCTAACCAAAGCTTATCTTTTTCATAGCTATGAGTTACTGTATTTTTCGGAGTATAAGACTCACCAAGGTTTTGAAGAGGCAAATTAAAAAAAGTGTTTTCTTTCTGCAAACCTCCCAAAAGTGGCCTATTTTTTGCAAAAATTGGCCCGTTTTTTCCCATAAAAAGGCATGAATAGTCTTTAGGGGGTTTGCAGAGTGCTGGGGGGGGGGGCAAAAACGAGCAAAAAATAGCCTATTTTTTGAAAAATACGGGGGGCATGGATAGCCTTTAGGAAGCTTATAGAGTGCTCCTGGGGAATGGGGGGGGGAAATTGAGCAAAAAAGGGCCCATTTTTTGCTCATTTCTGCCCTCCCCAACCCCCAGGAGCTCTCTAAAAGCTTCCTAAAGGCTATGCACGGTCATTTTGGTGAAAGGGGCGGGGTTTCAGGAGGCAAAAAATGCTGTATTTGGTGTATAAGATGCACCCAGATTTTCAACCTCTTTTTTGAGAGAAAAAGCGTATTATACTCAGAAAAATACGGTACATCTATCTTGCATGCATGTCATTGCTCATGTGTTAGGGACTCTTCATTGATTGACATGTGCTCTTTGTTGGCCAAAACTATCATGCCTTTTTCATTGATGTTCAAGTGGTGGTTTATTTAAAATAACAATTGGCCAAGGAGGACGCTATAGTAACAAATAAGCGGCAAAAGTTGGCGAGCACTTTGCACTGCTTTCATTCCTTTCTGAGAGCTATTTTGTAACTCAGTGCCTGGATGATATTTTTGTCCTGTTGCTGTCAAAAAACTGTAAACAGGATTTCTCATGAAAAATGTCTTTGTATGGTATAGTGATGGAAGCTTATTTTGGGGCTAGCAACTTGGGAATTGAGGCTGATCCATCTTCTGATAGATTGCAGAGTGTCTAATCCTTTTTTGTGGCTGGCAGAGATCAGGGTAATCCTTGCTGACTCTCAAGCAACTCAGATTGGTGCCAAGCCTGCAGTATCTATTCCATAGTGTCCCAATTTTAGCTTCCCAATTTTAAGGAGAAACATGGGATGCTAAAGCACTAAATTCTAAGTGATTTTGATGAAACAATAGAACACTTCCGCTGACACTGGCATTATGGCTGCTGCCTAGTTTTCCTTTGTGGGTTAATTTACCCCATATTGTTTCTTTGCTGTCACACATCTGGCTGTAGTGCTTTAAAGTATCCTCCTGGAAAGCTTTCTATACGATACAGCAAGGTCCACTTAACTAGAACAGTTGTAATCTGGTCTCTACATCAACAGGCCCAAGTTACACACATTTAGTGTTTATCCTGCTTTGTTGAACATCACCTTTCCCCTCCTTGCTGCTTTATTTTGCAGTATTTAAAGTAAAATAAGATGTACCTTAATGTCTAGTTCAGAAAACGTTGATGTTGACCCAAAACTGTAGGAAAAGCATTTTTTTCGGACACTTCTTTTTTCAGACACACTATATATGTGTGTTGCCATCTGCTGCAGAGTCCCCTGGTGACTTGCAATATTATAACTTCAGAAAGGAATACAGTCGATAGTTGCTTTCTTCATAAAATTGTTTGTAACCCCCGTCTTTTTTAAAAATACACCTGTGGTACAACAATGGCCTTTTTGTAGAATGATTTACTTGAGACACTCTATTCGTTGAAGTAACTAAAACAAATCTTGTAATTGACGTATCTGCTGTCGAGTTCTAGTGATTTGATGTAATTCTTGCAGATCTTTAATTATTCCTGGTCTTTCCCTCTTCAGCAAGTAACAGCTATTGGCCTTTGTAACATAGTAGCAAAATATAATGATATATTTTATACTTGAATTGCCTTACACAGGAAGCAGGAAGCTTGAAGCTCTACATTGGAGAAGATTAGCCCTTTTGTAGCATGGGATATTTGTTCAAAGAGGCCTGGCTTATTCCCAACAAAGCTTGAAACTCCATAAAAATCCTGGCAATGTTTTGTTAACTGCCCAAAGGCTCCTACATTCATTCCTCTGCCAGGAGAGTAAATAAGTAGAATTCAAAGTTCCTCCTGGTTTTTCATCTCTACAGGTAATTTGCCTGTAGAGATGAACATAAGGTGAATAACTTGGAGAACATGTCAGGGACAACCAGATGTGGCCTGTCATCTGCCAGTTGTCATCCATTCCCTTTGAAAAATAGTTTCAGCTGTTACAGTGATACTATATGTCTGTAGGTCTAAAGCTGGAAAACAAATTCAGCACAAACGGAGGGGGGAAGAATGATACAGTCTTTCAGAAAGTTGGTTGCCAGTTTGGTCAAGTGATTAAGGAATCAGGCTAGAAATCAGGCAGCAGTGAGTTCTAGTCCAACTGTAGGCTTGAAAGCAGGCTTGGTGGCTTTGGGCCAATCCTTCACTCAGCCTGTAAGTCACAATTTAAAAATGGCTTGCATATCCTGTACTGAGTGGGTGAATGATCTACAGTGATCTTCAAGCTTGGCAACTTCAAAACGTGTGGACTTCAACTTTCAGAGTTCCCAAGGCAGCATGCTGGCTGGGGTGTCCTGGGAGCTGGCCCACATATCTTAAATTTGTCTAGCTTGAAAAATGCTGCTATAGAGCATATTTCTTTATTCTCTTTTATAAAGGAGCAAAGAGAATTCATCCAAAGGATGAAACTCTCTGCCTTCTTTTCACATTTTCAAGAGACTTAAGTCAGCCCTGCCAATCCTGATTCAATCAATCAGAATTGAGCTGGAAGGGGGTTAGGAGGTCTTCTAGTCCAACCCCCTGCTCAAGCAGGAGACCCTATGCCATTTCAGACAGATAACTGTCCAGTCTTTTCTTTAAAATTTCCAGTGATGAAGCACCCACGACATCTGATGGCAAGCTGTTTCACTGGTTAATTGTCCTTGGTGTTAGGAAGCTTCTCCTTAATTCCAGGTTGCTTCTCTCTTTGATTAGTTTCCAACTATTGTTTCTTGTCCTGCCCTCTGGTGCTTTGTAGAATAATTTGACCCTTTGTTTGTGGCAGCCCCTCAAATACTGGAATACTGCTATCATATCACCCCTAGTTCTTCTTTTATGTAGACCAGCCATACCCAATTTCTGCAATTCTTCTTGATATGTTTTTGTGTCCTTTTAATCAACTCAGTTGCTCTTCTTTGCAATTTTCCCAAAATCCAGTTAGTCTAATTAATTTCCAATTAATATATGTTTGTGTGACTAGTAGTGCCCACTGATGGAGAGTGATAGTCATGCCATCTCAGAGTGAAATAAAATGACACAGTGAATAGGAAAGGAACAATTTTTTTTCTAATATCAAATAAATGTATACTAGTTGTCCTGTATGATGGATAACCTAAGCATCAGTCCTTATTTAAATGACTTTCATTGGATTATTCATTATGGCAGATAATACCCGAACTTCATAGTTTTCTGCATGGCTTGAAGATCAGTTATAAGTAGGATAAAGTGTGTTTCGTGGTGGCCGTGTGCCTCTTATGCCGCATTTCTCACATAACCCCCTGTTGGAACATGCCAACTAATTAAGATTCAGGAAAGCCAGCGGCTGGGATTCTGTGGAGCATTCATGTATAGACGCTGCAAGTGAAAATTATGCTGCAGTAGGAGACTCTGGGACAGGTTGATGCATGAGATCCATGTGTGCTTTGGAAGGGAAGCAAAACTGCACACCTGGAATGTTACTGAATCTCAGAAGGTTTCCACTCACATTTGCTTAGACTGATCTTTCCCAGAGAAAATCTTTCCCTTGTTTTAGGGAAGGCACTTAAGTTGTAGCTAGAGGATACATTTGTATTATATTAAATGCACTTTATATGGAGATCTATTTTTAACTTTTATTTATTTTTAAATATTGTGCTTTTCTGCCTGTTGGTTTGAAAATAGGCAACAACAGTCACCGTGCTATAACGTCCATGTTAGTGGATGCTAATGTGGTGGGTGGATGTGATTCTTGTCATCAGGAATGAAATAAAACCCCATAAATAATGCTCAGAATCACCTCTCAAAGGACCAGGTCTTCACCTGGTGCCATAAAACATATTGTCCCCAGGAATGCAGTCCAGAGCATTAACTTCCCCCACCTATCCTACCTAATTTTATAAAGGGATTATGCATAAATTCATAAGGTTTTAAGCTTTAAGATACATCTGGAAACAGGCAACCATCCAACTGGCCACAATTTCTGCTCAGCCAACAAGAAGCTAAGAAGTTAATTATTCTGTATTTGCAGAATATGACCTAGGTGCTTAGCCATGTCATAAATCTGTCTACTTATCTTGCAGATTAACCAGCCTTGTCAGTTTTTGGATTTCAGATTTTCGGAAGGGTGGTTCAAAACAGAAATATGCCAACTGAATGCTTAAGGGAAGAGTGGCAGAAAAAGGCACACAATAATTGGTTTTATTATAGCATAAGCTAGTGTCAAGCACTGTGAGACATTGCTAGTTCATAGAATGAGTAGTGTTTCCTAATATAACAGAAGGGAGCTACACCTGTGGTGCAATAAGCAAAAGAAATGTCTTTGAAGCTTTAACCAAATTAGGAGAAGACGCTGTATACCAACTCTAAAATGATATTTGTTGTAGAACATTTACACTCAAGGCTTCTTTGTGGTTGTTGTGGGCTAGCATACACTATCTCCTCATACTGAGATATGTACTAATTTAAAATGTCCATATGTGGTTTGGTTTTTTAATGCATTTGTTACATATACTTTTCAGTTGTGGCTGTAAAGCAGCAGAAAAGATGGTAAATTCTGAAACTATGAATGTATGATACTCTACCATGGCAATATTGTTAGAATTAATGATTTTTTCCTCCCCGTAGACCATCAGAAGATGTGTTACTCTGCACTGGTGCTGGCAATGATATTTTGTATGGGAGAACCTCTGCCATACCATCACTATGGTGAGAATGATTTACAACATAGGGAGAAATAGATGGCAAGTAGCCATTTAATAGGACTCGTGTACTTCTAGATTTCTCTTACTCTTAATTCTCTTATTTCCAGATCTCTCTTACTAATTGGGAAAGTACCCAAAGTAGGATAAAATTATTTAAGTCCTTAACAGAAACAATGCAAAGTTGTGACAGCTATTGGTTAATTGCTAGGCTTCAGGGATTCTAGAACAGACCATAGACTAGATTCCAATGTTCTTTAAACTTTTTGCATTGTATGTCAAATATGTGTGTTACTTTTAATCTATCAATCTAATAAACATTCTGATATACAACATCAGGGGAATCTACGCTATTAATCAGTGCAGAAGAACTCTAAATAAAATAAATGTCTAATGTTGTATTAGAACTAAAAAGATTTATAACTGCATTGAATAGATATAAAAAGACCNGGGGGAGGGGGGGAATAACTTACCTAGATGAGCATGAAAACAAGAACAGCACAAGAACTCTTTCAAGTCTATTATAATGGCTTCTGAGGGACTTCACAAAAATTGACTCTTTCCAAAGTATTTGCCTTTCCAGAAGGCTCCCCCACCCCTATTTATCCTCTTTCTCAATCCCCCCCCCCCATTTGTCTTCTGCTCTTACAGCTGCGGATGGAGTACCTGTCTCTGATGTACGCCATCATGCGGACTACCCCATACCTACAGCACAAACACCGTTTAACTGACCTGCAGGGGACCTTGCAGCGCATCATGGTGGAAGCAGAGGACAGTCAGCAGTGCCAGATGGACAAAATGATCATCCAAGAGATTTATAAAGAGTTTCCAGAGATAGCTCCCGGAGCCAGCTAATTGATCGAAGGAAAGAAATGGCATGGATTAGAAATACCTCTTGTGGCTATGTCTTTCCCATTCTTCCCACTAGAGCTCCTGCCTTATTAGACCTACAGGTGAGCCCTGGAGTTTCAAGGGAGCATTAAAAGGCCCAACAAAGGAAGTTTCCACATAGATGCCCACCAGTGTGAAGTGCATTAAAAAAAAAATGACCTTTCTAGGTCTGTGACTCGGGGTGGGGAAAGGCCTCACAGATTAGAGGGGGATTTGGCTTGTTAGCGCCATCGGCATGATTTGACTGAAAGCAGGAGAATATTATTATTATCTCCCCGGTGATCTTTGCACTAAAAAAAAAGGACAAGGGTGAGCTAAATAACTTTATGCTGTCCTTGGGATCTCAAAGCAAGAAGTCTCCATCATAATTATCTGTCTCGCCGCACATTTGTTCTCCTGCAGCTAGCTACAAAACAGAGTAGGCCAATGATCTGAACAACATGCTTCGGTAATTTTGTGTCTGCAACATCTAGTGCAAAGTTGCCACAGTGCTAGTGAGGGGGAAACGACTTGTTTCTCCTAACGTACCCAGTCAGTTTTTCTGATCCATGTATACCTATGTGGGCTCAACATGCCAAGCTCCCTTCGTGACCCCGATCCGAGCAAGTGCCCGCTCGTCTTAAATGCTTAATGCAGTAGTGTTTACGTATGAGTTTCTTGCACGCCGAACAAGGACAAGAATACTGATTGTCCAGGCACTGCAGCAAGAGATCCTTCAAATAGCCTGCTTCTTAGACTCGCCGTGAAGACTTAGACTCCTCTTTGAAAAATATTGCTTCTTTCCTGGTATGTGCTAGCTTTTTTGCCTCTGGCGCTGCACATATGAGCACTGTGTGTCTGTTAAGTGGCAACGCACAGTGCGCGATCAGCCTGCGGGTGTTTTTTGCCTTGAGCTTAGTAGCAATTGGTTCTGCCTGGCTTTACCTTTTTCATGTTCAAAAAGCTACCTGAGCCTGATGTCTGCTACTGCTGCTCCTTAATATGCACAAGATGGGAGAAGTCCTCTTTATCTAATTCCTCCAGATCTTCTGCAAAGTGGATTTTGCCCCGTTTCCCACTGAGACCCTTTGACGGACTGGGGCTGTAATATCTCAATAAAACATGCATGCTGCCACAGCTCTTCGTAGTGGGTAAATAAGAGCTTTGCAACTGTTGCTGTAGCAATAGCCTGAATTTAAACTGGAAACATTTGGATAACCTCTATAAATCTAATGGATGCAGGAATAAATTTGAAACCGTCCCTTAGGATAGGGCATCTATTTGACAACCATGTCCATCTANGCTGTGATGTCGTCTTGCCTCTCAATTCCAAGCAATTTGGCAAGTTCTTATACTGTCACATGGTAGCTGTCAGATCTTAATTGCTTAATGCATTTATAAATGATGCCATCCCACATTGCATCATTTTGATGGAGGAAGGAGAAAAAAACACTTATAATCTGCAGCTTGTCATATAGACAAGGAAAAACATCATTAGTATTTGGATGGTGATGTAGTTTTTTTTTTCTGAGACACAGAATTAATCATGTGACCTGATCAAGTCCACTTTTTTTGCTCTTTTATTCATTATTTTATGTGGCTTAATTAGAAATTAGCCAATCACATCTGCAGAACTACGCAGCTTTGGGAAATATTCTTTTCTGTTTGGGATACGGTGGGAAACTATGATGTATGACACAATAACATAGATTCCAAAGGGAAAAGCAATACCAGTGGGTCACCACTGTGGGGCATTGGTTGAGCTCTTACTAGATACTTCTTACCAGCTGCAATAAAAAAAAGAGTAGATGAGCTCAGTTTTTTAAAAAAATGTTTGTGGGAATAACTCTTTTGTTAATTATATGCCATTTGCTTATTGGTTATATGCCATTTGCTTATTGGAAAGTTAGAGAAATTTCAGCTTGCTTGTCATAATACACATGAAGTCTCCGAGTACAATTCCATAGCATAAGCCAATCTTTGCCAAAACATCATTTTTAAAGGATATATTGGTGCAAAATTCCCATAATTTCTAAATAGTCTGGCTGGACTATATTCAGATTGGAGAAGTCTGGAGTAAGTCCTGATGAAGATTGTACAGCCAACCTGTTCTGAAATTAAAACAGTGATGAAACCCAAGTATTTTGCATTAATTTATCAAAGCTTTTGTAGTTTAGATTTCTGTACTGTGTTTTAGCTATCTAGAACAGATATCTAGATATTTTGTTAGTAGATATCTCTAATAAACCCTCTTCTTGTTTCTTAGTTCCAGAGCATAATGTGATCATGGTTACTGTGAAGAAGCACTCTAACATCAAAATATTTACAGAGAAGCTGCTACTGCTTCTGAATCGTGGAGGTAAGGTCTCTTGCTGTTTTATTATTTATCCAGTTTGAGACAGAACTAATGGGAGAGTTGACCTAGGAAACTAGAGCCAGAGGAAGATTGGTAAACAGCCTCTCAATTCCAGGAGGTTTCTGCTTTTTAAAAGGTCTGGGTTAGGAGAATGTGTCCAGCATCTTCATTCGAGACACTGACCTGCTGAAATGTTGGCTTGGTTTCCATTCAAATGACCTGGTATTAAACAGCTTCCTAAACTGTTTGTCCGTGTAGAGTTCAACCCAGCAACACTGAGATCATGGTTCCTAATATAACCATTATCTTCATGAACCATTATCTTCATGAACGTCCACTCCTAATGGTTGTGAAAATCAGCCACATTCTGTTTTCTTCCTTCATAAGTTTTATCAGACAAGTTTGATCATTGACTTCCAATGAAGATAATGCTCCACACTGAGTGAAACTTTCCAGTCCAGGATATAAGCAGCATGATAGCTTAATTTATTTCCCTATATATGCTTTGTATGCCACAAGAAAGCAACAGTCTGGCTTCTTAGGGAATTCTCCCCCACCTTCCCCCTCAAAAGTCCTCCCCTTCCATCTTTCAATTAGTTTAACCACGGATTACTTTTTCCAGCAGTGAGCCCTGTGTTAAATCTCCTGAATCTACCGAGCCTATAGAAAAGCACTTCATTTAAAATCTGGGAATCCTTATTTCTAGACAGCCTAATACCATTGTATCCATGCTTTCCTCACAAAGCTCTGGGCAGTTTAATGTCTTTAGGAGCAGAAAGCCTATATTTGTTTGTGTGTGCAGAGATAAGTGTGTGTTCATTTTGAAACAAAGGAAAATTAAATCAAATTATTTTGTTTGAAGATTAATAGGTTCTTTTATTTCTGGTTTAAGTTTTTTTTTTCCAAATGAAAATTGTGTTCTTTTCATATTGCCAGCCAAGAGCTGGTTTTAGTTTTATATTACTCAACAGAGCTTTAACTTATTTCATTGCCAAATGTCCATTCTTTGAAGAATCCACTGAATATTGAGTAGCAAATTAAAATTTTCTATAGAAGCCTCTTTAGAGATAAGTTCTGCTTCCCCAGTAGAGAAGAATTCCTGTTTTTTAACATCATGGTATATGTACATTGATTTCATATTTCTCTATATAGAAAGCAGAAAAACTATTTTTGAAAAATATTACTGGTCAAATAAAATGTTACAGCTGTTCATATATTAAAAGATAGACTGGTTTACTGTGGTGAAGGGCTAGGTGGCCATTTTTTGCCCATTTATATATTTTACACATTTAGTAGTCCATTTGCACAAATATTGTTCAATGAAAAAGATAATTTTGACATTAGATTTCAGTGGCCAAAATTACACCAAACCAGTACTGTGGATTCCCATCATTTTAGGTAGGAAAAAGAAAGAAGACGTAGTTCTAAAGTAGGTTCTGTGAAACACTCAAGTACCCTACATGATTATCTTACTCTAGAACTGACATTGAAAACTCAGGGCATCTCCAGTTTGTACTTCAAATGGAAAAGTGTTTCAGAAGTGTGAATTGAAGGGCAGGTTTGAGGGGAAGCTCAGGGCCCTGGCAGGAGAAAATTAGGTATCGGAGAAAGAGGTTTATGAATATAGTTTTATTGACAGGGAAGGCAAGGATTGACAGCCTATAAATACGTTGTATTACTATAAATTTGAATTAAGGGATCCTATGACCTATTTAAAATTATTTAAAAGAAATTATTTCAAGTGTGTATACTTTAGAATCAGGGTTGATTCCTGGTGACTCCCTGGACAAGGCCTTGGCAAGATTTCAAAGATGATTTGCTATTGCACCTTCTTAGGCTGAGAGAGAGTGACTGGCCCAAGGTCACACAGTTGACTTCATACCTATCATGGGTCTAGAACTCACAGTCTCCAAATTTTCTAGCCTGATGCCTTAAGCACTGCACTAAACTGGCTCTTCAGTTCTTTGCCTAAGTGTATACAAAGCAATCATGTTGTTCTGCATCTTCTCCACATTTCACCGTCATGTTACCAAAAACCAATATAAAGAAATAGAGAAGAAAGCCAAATAAATTTCAAATCAAGAAGGGTTTTGGTAGTGACACAAAACCAGCAGATCCTTTAGAGATAATCCTGAATTAATTGGATTATGGTTTCATTTTGGAGAAAAATAAAATACAAATTATAAAAGGATCTCCATGCCTGTGAGGGAACACAAAAGCCTATGAAAACAAAATCCAGGAAAAACGAAAACCCTGGGCTTGCCTGTAACTCTTATATTCTCACTGCACTTGTTTAATGCCCCTGATCTATGTGCTAGGAAGTATGGAAAATAAAGGCAGGCTTTATAGCCCAAAATTTGACTCTCCAACCACATAAAATGATAGTTTATTTACTTTACTTATTAAATATATATTAACTGTATTTATTGTTCACATTATAGCATAATACAAGCAGCAAAGACAACCCCAAATACATTTTCTTTAGTTGCTCCAAAGCTTAGCCTTACAAACAACAAAGCCCTCCTTTTTCATCCCACCATCTGGCTATCAGTAAAGACCCCAGAAATTGTCAATGATCTCAAGAAGATTTTGATGGAAAAAGAAGACGTTGCACAAGAAGAAACTTGAGTAAACGTAGTTTCTTCCACCAGAGTATTTTAATATACGAAGAGTTTCATGAGCCGAAATACTGTCTTTCAGACAATTAACCTGGATAATTAAAAAGCACACAAAATTTATGCTTTATTGATACATCTGCTGTCATTGTAGATGGAGTCAGTTCACTCTATTTAATGTTTCCTCTCGAATAATTTTCTTTAATAAAGGAATGTAAGCTGTGGCTTGGAAGCATTTGATCTGCCTGCGTTGCTCATTCATGCACACACACCCTTCCCGAATCCTTGCTGGATTGGTCTGAACAAATACTACCGTAATGCCTGTACCGTGTTATATGGAGTAAATTACTACCTTTCACCTAAATGAGAAATGGCAGTACATGACAGAATATCCCCCGTTCTGTCTTTTTTACCAGATGATCCTGTGTGCATCTTTAAACATCAGCCCCAGCCTCCACATTCTGTGTTGAAATTTCTTCAAGACATCTTTGCTTGCAAGGACACTGCAAGCATCTTCTACCACACAGACATGATGGTAATGATCGACATAATTGTGCGACAGATTTCGGATCTCTCCCCTGGAGAAAAGGTAAAACCTACAGGAGGAAAGATAGTTCTAGATTTTTCTCCTCAAGAGGGAAAACATTACGAGATGAATGTTTGGGGCACATATGAACTAGAAGCTTCTCTCTCTTCTCTGGTCTTATTGCTATAGAATGAGGAGAGGAATCAGTGGTCTCCCATATCACTAAACAACAACTACAGCTGCCCTAGTCAACACAATCAGTGATGAAGGGGGGGGGAGATGGATTGTGGGTTAGGAACATCTGGGGAGCCAGAGGCTGTTCTAAAGCATGTACAGTAGTCTCATATCTACAGAGTTGAATAGATTAATAAGATCTCATTTAGATTTAAATTAAATTAGATGTCTATGGTAGGTAATAGTCGAGCTACAAATTGCATTAATTATGTGCCTAATTACCTAAAGTGACATGCACAGGATTCTGATTCAAATTAAGACCACTTTGCACATGGAGAGGAAGTTTAAATTGCTTGCTCCCGTACTTGAACTTTTCCCATGGAGCTGAGATAGAGGGATTAAAAAGAATAAGGAGGCCTCCTTCAGTGCCAGTAGAAGATTTTTCTTTTTTCAATGAAGGCATTATTGGGATACAAGTCATAACATTTCTTGCTAAACTTATAAGGAAACTGTTCTTTCTTTTTTTTCCTTCCCTTTTCAAAACATTATTTAAAGAAAATGCAAATTTATATAATAAAGCAGCTTTAAGGGCATTTAACCAGTGCTTATACATTGTATTCTGTTCTTACTTCAGAGTAAAAATCAAGGATGGTTGCAATGACATGTTTAATTTATATGAAATTACCAGTAACATTTTTTTTATTTATATCTTGGAATTGCTGTCTACAATTTTACTCTAAAGTTACACTTTCTGGGTATCAGAGATAGCTTTCTGTTAGTAATGTAGAAGCACATTATATCAATGCTATAGATTCTGCATTGCCTCCAAAAGCCAATTCAAGATGTCACCACTGAAATATGAAATCATGATGAATTTTTCATAGCCCATGCAAAACAAATCTTGAATGGGTACAGATGTGTTTGGTCCTCAGTGTCTCCATGGTAGAGAGTGCATCCTAAATAAAAATATTTGGAATATTTTTTTTAAAAAAAATGTGTTTGAAGAATGTACTTCTAACTGACAGATTCAGCTCAAATGTTTTAAGGTCTTCGTTTCTAATCTAATAAATGCAAGCAATTAACTGCTATGTTTTGAGAGTTCACCCTATGATTATGACAGGAGAAACATGAGGATTGCAGCTGGCCCCCAAAACTGGAGTTAGGTGGGAGTGGGGAGTTGACACTGGGCCCACATATTTTTCCTTCGAAGAGAGAGAAGGATTTCAATGGGAAATCTTAATATAACTTAAGCTATAAAAAGATTCCTTTTTTATCACACAGCTTAAATAAGTATTATGAAAAAACTACCGTGTTTCCCCAAAAATAAGACAGGGTCTTATTTTCTTTTGACCCCTGAAATAAGCACTTGTCTTTATTTTCGGGGAGGTCTTGGTGCAGGAGAGGGCGAGCGTGGTCACCGCAGGGCTGCTGCTGTGTTGCAATATTTTTGGGGAGGGCTTATTTTCAGAGGATGGCTTATTTTAGCCCATGCGCTCAAAGGACGATTGGGCTTATTATCAGGGGAGGTCCTATTTTTGGGGAAACATACCAACACATTTGGTATC